ATGGTTCACTGATTTTGAATATTCTATTCAAAATATCTCAAAAGAAAAAAAGACTATTTGTGCAGTCAACTATTTGAACTAGCAGAATGACTGAAGCATATAAAGGAGAATAAGCAAAAAAGATGTTTAGACATTTCATAAATATGGAATTTGATTTGTTTGTTTGTATACATTATGAGGTACCAGTGCAATTTTGTTACATGCATGGATTGCACAGTGGTGAAGTCAGAGCTTTTAGGGTATCCATCACCCGAATAATATACATCATACCCATTAAATAATTTTTCTCATTATCCACACCCCTCCTACCCCAAAACCCTCCTGAGTCTCCATTGTGTATCATGGAATTGGATTTTCTTCCACAAAATATTCAACTTAAATTTAGGAGTTATTAATTTTGTCTATATTGCATGCTGTTTTGTTTTTGGTTTTTTGTTTTTTTTTTTTTTGAGACAGAGTCTCGTTCTGTCCCCCAGGCTGGAGTGCAGTGGCGCGATCTTGGCTCACTGCAAGCTCCACTTCCCAGGTTCACGCCATTCTCCTGCCTCAGCCTCCCGAGTAGCTGGGACTACAGGTGCCCACCACCATGCCTGGCTAATTTTTTTTTTTTTTTTGTATTTTTAGTAGAGATATGGTTTCACCATGTTAGCCAGGATGGTCTTTATCTCCTGACCTCGTGATCCGCCCGCCTCGGCCTCCCAAAGTGCTGGGATTACAGGCTTGAGCCACCGTACCTGGCTGGTATGCTGTTCTTTAAACTCATGAAATCTCTGAGAAACTAACTAGAAAGGGTCTTAATTCTGAATTTAGAAATGTTTCTAATTATATACATTTTGATACCAATATATTGTACATTCATCTGGAATACCTTTAATATCCTCATTAGCTAAGTAATACAGAATATGAATATTAAGTAATAGAGAAGTACTCCATAGACATTATCCAATTCTGCTTTCATTCACTTGAATTGATTACTTTGAAAAAAGTCTTAATCCATAATGTCAACTTCTTTTATTTCTATTTGCCCCATCTTTTAGAGGATATCTCTATCCGAGGAAGATTTTTTGGTATGTGCATTTTGTTTATTCTACACATGCCAAATAGATCTCCCAAGATGAAACTCTGAGCTCATTTGGAAGTAATTTTTGGTAGCACATGAATCAGAACTCTTATTTTCTTCTCAGCACTACTGGTATTTTATTGCTTCCATCTATAGTCCAATATGCTTTTAGTGCTAAGAACCCTGAGGCCAAACACACAAAGCACTAAGAAAATGGGAACTTCTGGCGATTACAATTTTTGCCAGTCTTTCAGGGTTCTTCCCTCCCCTGGGAGAGTGAAATCACTTTAAGTTCACTATGAAACAGGAACATGGTGAGCACAAATGATTGACTGAAGTTGGTGATGTTGATTTAGGAATCTTCGACTTAAAGGTCAGGTATAAAAACCTTAAACCTGCTTGTCAAAGTCTGCTTGTCAAACGCCGATGGATTTTTTCAAGACTCTGCCCTAATGTCACTTTTTCTATCAAGGCCTCTCTGGCCAACACAGGCAGAGTTAGGCAGTTCCTCCTTTATGTTATTAGCACACCTTAACATACTTCTATGGCAGCACTTATCAAATTATATTGCATTTGTTTGTCTGTCTCCACTCACGGATAGAGAGAAACCATTCTCTTCCTTTATCTGTGAACCAGAGCATTACCAAAATCAAGTTGGTTTTCAATAATTAATGGAAAGGATGGTCAGAGAATGGCTAATAATATTCTACCTTTGTATACCATAGGTTTCAAGGTCTTTCACATAGTAGTGAGGAAGACTTGGCTTAAATTATTTTCCGTCTTTCTTTCTTTTTCTTTTTTTTTTTTTTTTTTTTTTTTTTGAGGCGGAGTTTCGCTCTTTTTGCCTAGGCTGGAGTGCAATGGCGCGATCTCAGCTCACCGCAACCTCCACCTCCCGGGTTCAAGTGATTCTCCTGCCTCAGCCTCCCGAGTGGCTGGGATTACAGGCATGCGCCACCACCCTGGCTAATTTTTGTATTTTTAGTAGAGACGGGGTTTCTCCATGTTGGGCAGACTGGTCTTGAACTCCTGACCTCATGTGATCCACCCACCTAGGCCTCCCAAAGTGCTGGGATTACAGGCGTGAGCCACCGCACCCGGCTATTTTCCATCTTTTATAGATAAAGAAACAAATGCCCAGAGAGGTTATATGACCTACCCACGTTCAAAACAGTTAATATATTGTACACCTAATTCTCATGGCAGCAAGTTGATAAAGATTTGTAGATAGAAGTGGTAGCAGTACTGTTATATAAGGCAAACATAGCAATGGCTGGCCAGGAGTGCATTATGTAAGTGTTTCAGATTGGTTGACATATTTAGGATCTCATTACTTGTTTTGAAAGTCAATCTTAACAGGTTCTCAAGAAATTAACTTAAATGGACATGAAACGACACAAGAATATCAAATTATTTACATTCAGTAACAATATATGAAAATTCTTACTCTGTACTCAAGCTACAGTGAAGTCAGCAGAAAGACATAAAACATATCCTACATATGTATGTAATATATATGACTCTGCCATCTCTGAAATTCCGAACGTGACTCAGACTACTAACAGGGAACAGAATTCTTAGAGATCAATCCTTTAACTCTTTCATTTTACAAAAGACAGACAGAAATGGATAGCGAGAAAGGATAAATGACTTACTCAAAGTCACACAGCTTTTTAGTGGCAGTACCAGGACACAAAATCAGGTCTCCTTAATAATATTCTGACATTTTTAAAAAACAAGTTATGATTGAGAAGTGATACAGGTAGAGTTCTTAGCCTTCTAGGCATCTGGCTAATATGAGTACACACAGGCTGTAACACTGGAATTATCATTAAAAGAATGCTGCAACATGGTGGAGAAGTACACCATCAACTACTCTGTGTCTGTGTATTGGGGAGGTTAAGGGAACATATAATATGACAGTGTTTTAGGATCTAAATGGAGATCAACAATATTAATTATATTTATTCTTATATATTTTACATATATATTCTTCTATTTATTTATTTATTTTGGGACAGTCTCACTCTGTCTCCAGCGGCTCACTACAACCTTCGCCTCCCAAGTTCAAGCGATTCTCCTGCCTCAGCCTCTGAAGTAGCTGGGATTACAGGCGCCCGCCACCACGCCCGGCTAATTTTTGTATTAGTAGAGACAGGGTTTTGCCATGTTGGCCAGGCTGGTCTCAAACTCCTAACCTCAGGTGATCCACCCACCTCGGCCTCCCAAAGTGCTGGGATTACAGGTGTGAGCCACTGCGCCTGGCCATATATATATTCTTACATATCCATTCACCCACAGACATTGTTACAAAAAAAATTATTGGATTTATCATTTCAGTGTGTCAACTAAAGTATATTTTCTGTTTCCTCATTCCTTTTTAATGTAATTTTTTTTCCTTTTCGAAAATAATCCAAGTAGATATAACCTGTGCGCTTATGTGTTCATAGCATATAATCAGCTTTTAAGTTTTGAAAATTATTTGATCACTTTCTCTTAGCCCTCTTCTCATTGCCAATAGAGCACATTCTACTAGTTATGGGTTAGCTACAAAGTATGTGTCTCTATGAAGGGTCAAAGACCAAAATCAACTAATATTTTCAGGAAAAAAGAAGACATATGATCATACTTCTGGAAGTTTGTGGATTAACTTCTATGACCAAAGCTGCTTGTTTAACTGTTGGGGTGTGCTCTGGGTTATAGGCCCTGGGTTAGGAGATGAAAGCAATTTGATTTCCACAAGCATATTCATATCTCACAGATGAAGTCACACCAAAATCAAATGATTTCACAGGGCAACAGCATTGACAAAGAAAGTACTGCTTTGGGAATAAAAACATACCTCACACTGGAATGAATTTGTTTGTTAACTGATCTTCCTGCTAGGGATTATTGCTAGAGGTCCTCACACCTGTAATCCCAACACTTCGGGAGGTTGAGGTAGGTGGATCACTTGAGGTCAGGAGTTCGAGACCAGCCTGGCCAATATGGTGAAACCCCATCTCTACTAAAAATACAACAATTAGCTGGGCGTGGTGGCATGTGCCTGTAATCCCAGCTACTTGGGAGGCTGAGGCAGGAGAATCGCTTGAACCTGGGAGGCAGAGGTTGCAATGAGCCAAGATCGCACTACTGCACTTCAGCCTGGGCAACAGAGCAAGACTCCATATCAAAAAAAAAAAATAAAAATAAAAAATATATATATATACACATACACACACACACATATATACACCTTTATCTGTTTGAGATCAACTATTGTGCATATCTTTCTGTTACTATTACAATCAGAGTCTGTATTCTTCCTGCTACTCCTTTGTTGGATGCAGAGGAGGTGTATTTCCACAGCATTTATATAGCAAAGTCTTTGATTCCTTTTAGCATCATAACTTGTACCCTAACTGCCACCCCCAATTAATGCTAATATTTACTGTGATCCTCAAGAGTTCCAGTTTAAAACAAGAGCCCACATTGTGAAAGAAACTTTAGGTATTCAAAGTTATTTACAAAGTCCAATTCAAAATCAGTTTCTCATTTAAGCTGTGAAAGAAACTTGTTTATAAATCACAGCATTCGAATTTATAATGTGAAAAGTTCTAGATATTAATTTTTAAGGTATGTAAAATTATAATATTATGCTATATAAAAATTGGGGTTATTTAAGTACCAATTCATTCATTTCTTATAAAATTTCAGTAAAACATTTCCCATGTATACCTAACATTGAAGATGATTCATTGAGGTCCGCATTATGTTAAGCCAGCCATGACTTATAACTTAATTTTTATCCATGTCACAGGTATAAAATACCTGTCAATTCTTGTTAAAAAACTGTCACATGAAATCAATATAGTCAATAGGAACATAAAACAACAATAGAAGGAAGACATTCAGAAATATAAGCAACAGGCCCTGCAATGCTTTAAGATGTATTACTCACCAAAAACAAAGTTCGGAAGTTGTTGAGATCACCAAAGAACTCTTCTATGCTCACTGTCTTTGAGTCAAAAATGAAATATTCTCCGAGATTCTCATAGAGCTTCATCATGTTGTTGTGCATGGTGGAGAGTTTTTCATACTGTTCTCTGGCACTCTTCGTAAAGCTGTAGCTTTTTGTTAAGGAACATGACCCAACAGTACCTTTTAAATGCAATCACTAGATGTTAAGATTGAATTAAATCATCACTTCTATAAATATATTAGTAATGCACAAATACTTGTGCATTAGTTTGTTAGGGCTGCCATAGTAAAATACCACAGATTAGGTGGCTTAAACAACAGAAACTGATTTTCTCACAAATCTGGAGGCTAGAAGTCTGAGATCAGGGTCTAGTGAGTTTAGTTTCTTCTGAGATCTCTCCACAGTCGTTCCTCTGTCTGTATCCTAATCGCTTCTTCTTACATTAGACATATTGAATTAGGGCCCACACTCATCAGCTCATTTTAACTTAATTACTTCCTTAAAGTCCCTATGATCAAATATAGTCACATTCTGAGGTACAGGGTGGTTAGGACTTTAACATATGAATTTTGGGGAAGACACATTTTAGCCCAAAATAACTTGCTAGAGTCATTATATTGGTTAGTGAGACTTGAAGATCTTTAAATTAGGCAGAACTATTCAATATGTAACCACACGGAACATATTTGTTAGAAAATGTTTGCTAAATGAAAGCATATAGGCATAAATACCAGAAAATGGCCTCTTATATTTTTATGAGTAAGGTAGAAAACAAACAGTGACAAAAAACTTAAAGAAAAAATTATATATATATATATATTTTTTTCTTCTCTTTTTAATATATATCTCTATATAAATAGAGATAGAGGTTATAGTGAGGCCAGGTGTGATGGCTCACGCCTGTAATCCCAACACTTTGGGAGGCCGAGGTGAGCAGATCACAAGGTCAGGAGTGTGAGACCAGCCTGGTCAACATAGTGAAACCCCATTTCTACTAAAAATACAAAAAAATTAGCCGGGCATGGTGACACGTGCCTGTAGTCCCAGCTACTTGGGAGGCTGAGGCAGGAGAATCGCTTGAACTCGGGAAGTGGAGGTTGTGCTGAGCCAAGATCGCATCCCAGCACTCCAGCCTGGGCAACAGTGTGAGACTCCGTCTCAAAAAAAAAAAAAAAAAGAAGTGATAGTGAATTCTGTATATGAGTGTTATATATGTGTGTGTGTATACATATATGCATAACCCACATAAGGAAGGGAGAGAAGGAAGAAGGTGATGGGGTTCAAGACACACTTCCCCAAAATATGGCACCTTGGCATTTGAGAAATCAGCAAAAGCAGGAAGATCTCTCTGATCTTCTTCTAATCCTTTTCTCCTGAAGCAGACAAGAAAATAATTCTCTTAACTGCCTCTGAAGTAGGTTATAAGACCCTCATTTCAGAGCTGCTCTTCCTATACCTGAAGGAAAAGAATGTCCTTATCTCTGGAGACATATGGACACAGAGAAGAATCTGAACAAATATGCCTTGCTAAGTCCCCCCAGCTCATTACCATTAGATCATACCCCCTTTGCCCAATTATATTTCCCCACTGTCCACTCTTCATCAAACCTAATCATAAAAATATACAAGTTTCCCTACTTCTTTTGGTCTTCATTTCTGAGGGCTCCTGTGTCACATAAAATTTATATTAAATAAATCCATAAGTTTTCCTCTTGTTAATCTGTCTTTTGTTTTAGAGGTCTCAGCCACAAACCCAGCAATGGGTGAGAAGAGAAACTGCTTTTCCTCTATAAAGGAGAGAAAGTGGCCTGGCAAGAAAGGAGGACGAGGGAGAAGGAGGGAACGGGGGAGGGAGAAGAGAGGATGAAGGGGAGAGGGAGAGAGAGATACAGAGGGAGAGGGAGAAGGAGAGAGAGGTAAAGAAAATTTGCTGTAGCTCTAGAGAGAATTTTCTGTACCTTTAGAACCTTAATCGCTCAAAGGGCTTGTTAAAACACAAGTAGCTGTTTGCTGGGGCCCCAGATCAGAGGCCTAAGAATTATCATTTCTAACTAATTTCCAGGTGATGCTGATGCTCCTGGTCCAGGCCCACACTTTGAGTAGCATGTTTTAGAAAATTAAGTAGAAGCTATTATCTCCAGAAACTAATTTTACCAGTTTTAAAAAAATTTTGAAGGAATAAATGATCTTAACAACCACCATTACCAAATCATAAAATGAACGAAATATATAAATGTGTCCTACTAAAGATATCTCACTATATATAAATTTATACTTATAGAAAGAAATTATAATACATTTTTTTCTGATTATAGAAGATATAAATGACCCTTTTTTACAACTTAGAAATTAAAAACTTAAATCAACTAAAATTTCCCACTCAGAAACAAGTATTGTGAACATCTCGAAGCATTTCCTCCTGGTCTTTCTTCTATGGCTAGTAACTTTTGATTGTTATGGATAAGAATGTTTTAGAAAAAGGTAAGTGGACTAACCATAAAGAAGAAAGGAAACAAAATCAACAGTTTAAAATTAGAGTTAAATCCATTAAAAATTAATAATGATCACAGAAGTAAAATTTCTTTAGATGGAAAAGTAATTGACTTGGAATTGTATAGAAAAATAATGGTGCAGTCTGGGGCATACTATTTTAAGATCTACTACAGTATATTAATATTTTGTGGTGCTATTATTTTATCAAGTACTGATAATTGTGCCTTGAAAAACTTGACTTTATAAGATTTTCTGAATTCTTCACTGTGTTTTATTATAACCTGGGGCCAAATTTATTTTCCATGGGAACACAGCTCTAGTTCTATAATGAAAGTCAATGGGGAAATCAGACCATTTCTGGAAAATTACTTTGCAGCTGACACTTACGGAATACACCATGATTTTAAAAGTGAGATGCCCACTTCCTATGTTATTTTTTTATGCTACGTAAGTATTAGCATTCACATTAACAACACAACAGCCCCTTTCATGCTGACAAGTGACATTAAATCTTTCAATCCTCAAGCCCATTTTTATGTCAATAGACCCGAAAGAACAAACACATTTCTGACAGACTCTACTTTCTTTTTAGCAATGAAAGGGTATGTAATGCTTCACATATAAAAACATTCTGACTTTTACCTTTGAGACTGTCATCATATATATATTGGTTTTTAAGAAAATGTTTAGCATCATATTTAAGCATAGCAGAAAGAAGACTCTTCATTTTTTAGCAAAGAATGAAAGTGACATTTCTGTTTTCTAGCCTCTCTTCCCTAAATAAAATAGATTCATTCCAGGGACTTGCTAGGCAGAAACACTTTGCAAAGGTCACTTACTTGTAATCTATTTGCAATGCAAATTACTAAACTGTTTGTATATTGCAGAAAACTCAACATCTGTACAACACAGAGAAAAAGCCAAAGATAACAAAAAAGGGAAAATGTGTATGTTCCCATTTATCATAACACAATTTTTCACCAGCTAAAACATGTCCATGTAGTGATACCGAATTTCATAAATTTGTTCTTATAGAACAAAAACTGGTTTCAGAAATTGTCTCTGTACCCGAGAGAGAAAATCTGAAAAATTCTGAGAATGGTTTATCTTCAAAATAACAAATGGAAAGCAGTCCAATGTCTAAATCCTTCACTTATCTTCCAAGAGATTACTTTGTAAAAGGGATAGATGGCTGGCAAGTCAGCACTGAAATTTTTCACAATTGCAACCATGTCACCAAATCCTACATGGGACTGCAGGTAAGAAAAGAAGTGGACATCACTCCATATCATCCCAGTATTTAATGTGGAAATTTTAAAAACTTACCATTTATTTTAAATTATCTGCATTATTTTTTAGAGACAGGATCTTGCTCTGTTACTCAGGCTGGAGTGCAGTGGCACGATCCTAGCTCACTGCAGCCTCGAACTCCCAGGCTCAAGCCATCCTCCCGCCTTAGCCTTTCAAGGAGCTGGGACTACAGATGTATGCCACCACACCTGGCTTCATATGGGAAACTTTTATTTTGTTTTTTGAGCAGTCACTAAATACAAGATACTGGGGTGGTATCATGCTAAGCATTGTGGTCGATAGAATGATCATTAAAGCCTTAATCTCTACCCTGAAGAAGTTTATAATCCAATAGTACAATAATTCTACCACCATCAATTTGCATGTGTATAAGACTTTATCACTTATTATATACATTTCCTTCCATTATATCCCATATTCTTCATAACAACCTTTTCAAAAAGGCAGAGCAATATTACCATTCAAAGTTTAGAGTTGTGGGAGCTAGATAAAAGGCAGTTATCCATTTAGGGTTAGAACGCAGACATTGTAATAATCCATGGCATGACACCTAGTTCTTTTCATATAGAAGTGTATTGTTTACAATAACAGTGACCTTCATGTGGCAAAATCCAATATTCACTCCTTTATTTTTCTTTTTAGGTCTCAGCAGCATATGACAACATTTAGCTACTTCTCTTAATTTCTGTGACACAGAAATGAAAAGTTTTCTTTCTCACTTCCTCTCCTCTGGTAACTTTTTGTTTTTGTTTTTGTTTTTGTTTTTTGTTTTTTGCTTTGTTTTGTTGTTTTTTTGAGATGGAGTCTTACTCTGTCACCCAGGCTGAAGTGCAGTGGCGTGATCTCAGCTCACTGCGACCTCTACCTCCTGGGTTCAAGCGATTCTCCTGCCTCAGCCTCCCAAGTAGCTGGAATTACAAGCACAGCCCACCACATCCAGCTAATTTTTGTATTTTTAGTAGAGATGGGGTTTCACCATGTTGGCCAGGCTGGTCTTGAACTCCTGACCTCAGGTGATCCACCCACCTGGGTCACCCAATGTGCTGGGATTACAGGCGTGAGCCACGGTGCCTGGACTCTTCTGGCAACTTCTATAAAATGTTAGAGTAGAGGGTTTGGTCCTGAGCCCTCTATCTGCATTCTCTGTCTAGTTGATTTCAGCAATTCACATAGCTTTTGTCAGGCCTCTGAGCCAAAGCTAAGCCATCATATCCCCTGTGACCTGCATGTACACATCCAGACGGCCTGTTCCTGCCCTAACTGATGACATGCCACCACAAAAGAAGTGAAAATGGCCTGTTCCTGCCTTAACTGATGACATTACCTTGTGAAATTCCTTTTCCTAGCTCAAAAGCTCCCCGACTGAGCACCTTGT